TTATGCAGGTACAAGTACTGTATATACAGGTATTAAGTACAGTGATCCCTCGGTTAACGAGCGCCACGGTTAACAAAATTTCGGTTAATGAATTACCTTCCATAAGATTCTTCACTTCGGTTAACGAGTTCCTTACAAATTTTTCCCAACATGTCTTCACTTGCATTTGGCTGCACACCAGCTGTAGTATTAGTCCACCAATACAGTAATTGGTTTTAGGGCTTAAATTCCTTACCATTTTCGTAAATATCAAGAAGGTTGTACTATTCAATGATTTTAAATTTTATATTAATTTTTTTAGTCATTTTAACAATTATTGAACATAATTGAAGTACAGGAAGCTAGTTTTTTGCACGCCAAACAGCCACTCAACACACCAAGCTTGGCGTCAGTTTGTTTACCAGTTCAGAGGAAGAAACATCTTGTTTGAGACTCTTCAACATAAACGCTTTTTTTCTGTGTTTCCAGTCAAATTATTGGTCATTTTGAAATATATTTTACATATTGACAATATATAATGCAGTGCAGTGTTGACTTAAAGAAAATAATCTTGAATTACACCAAGTGAACTAAAATTTTATGGGTGAAATGGCAGCACGGGGTGACTTCTCTTCCACCCCAATGTCTTCTCTTCTCCCTTCTCCTCCACCCCCATTCTAATTCCCATCATCATCATCAACTAGGAGCCTTCTACATGCACACCTCAAAGTAAGTGTACTTTACTGCATTTATTTTTAGTTTGTATGTAATTTTCGGTGAACTGGAACCAATTACCCAAAAACCCATTGAAACAATGGTTTCGGTTAACGAATTTTTTGGTTAACGAGCAACCTTCTGGAATGAATTGTGCTCGTTAACTGAGGGACCACTGTAAACTCAACTTTAAATTTCATTTGAACAACATTTTCAGCAGCTTCAAATTGGTCATTCTGTACAGTACAGGGTACTGTTAAATGATCTTACAGAGAACACATAAGGCATATTTAATAGCTACTGTAAATAAATGCCTTACATACCATAAAATGCATGATTTAGGGCAATATACGAGGTGTATAAGATACTGTACAGAAATTAAAACGAACTGTAAATATGACAAACACTGGACAGAGCTGACCATGGATTACTAACATTGTACAGTATGAACATACAGTACAGTATTTTGAGACCAGGCAGTAAAAAGCTAGCAGAAATATGTATAATTTAGAGATAGGTGGTAGGAGGGAGATTGGTGGAGATGCAGGAGTGGATCCTGGAGTATCAAAATGGGGGGGGTGGGGGGCACTGTAAGCCCCCAGATTTTTTTTTACATCTGACCAATATCATGGACATTTTGAGGCTATGTGTACTTGATATTAGGAGGTATTCTGGTCAATAGTAAATACTTTTTACTACACTAAAATGCCTGAAAACAATACAGTACTGCATTAAAGAAAAGGTATTGAAATTTTTTGATGAAATAGGGGGTCCAGACCCCAGAACATCCCCCTTGGATCAGCCCCTGAGATGAGAGGTTGTAGTGAAGGAGATAGACATCCAGACAGCAGTGTTTGTGAATGATAGATGAGCATGGCAACAAGTGGTGTGTGGGGATCCTATCACAGTACCAGCACTGTAGTTTGGATGAATGAAAGACGGTTATTAAGAGGCTGCAGATAGGAAGGATTAATTTTGCATAATTTAGTCAGCTGAAAGTTATATAATTCAGTGTTGGGAGATGATTGAGGTGTTTTGGTGGTATCTTGGTTTGGCTAGTGATGCAGGAGAAAGTTGAGATAATGAAATAAAAATTAAATAAAAGTTAAAGGTAACAGATGTTGAGCTCCATTGTGTTTGTTGTACAGCATACTGTACTTTATATTGAATCCTTGTGGTCATGGTGAATTCATCCCATTACTCTCTCCTCTTTTTTTCTCATAAATTTGTATATTTTATTATCAACAACTTTTCTTCATGAAGCAAGGTCAAATTATGAATGATACGGTGGTACAGTTGTGGAAGTGTGTTCCTCCACCCCTATGGTAACACGTGTCTCCAAACGGCAATGAATGGGTATGGGTCATATGACGACGTACATGATTGGTGGATAAGTTTGCTATAGATCATATACAGTATAGATTGGCTGTTTGGAGACACAAGTTATTAAAGGGGGTGTAGGAACATATTTCTGCAACTGTTCAGTACAGGTGCTGATAAATACTCTGTTATAATCATTAGTACAGAACTGTACAGTACACTTATCCAAAGCATGAATTAAATTTTTTATTGGTATGAAAATGACCGGACTCCATTCTGTTTACCTTATTAACCTAATGGCCACCCACTCTCGGTAGCCATGCTGAGGGAAGGCAGCCAGTGGCCTGTACAGGATCCCTCCATTGTTCTTAATAATTTTGTTTAAATATAGGTTTGGACTACATGAACTCTGTGTGTGCCCTTGCAACTGACTGCGGCTAATCCACAATCCAGATTAGACACATAACAGACATGACTGACCACCCACATAGCCATCAGGCTGATCAGTGCCAAAGATGATAAAGTAAAAATAAAGTACAGTACTGTAAATTAAGAAAGGTGTTAAGTAAATATTTTGAAGTCGCCATGCATGGAAATTACTATGGAAAATAAGTTTTTAAATTGTTTCATACAAACACGATCTTCACTTCCATTGGACAGGAGTAGTTTTAAGAACATGAGAAAATAAGGAGTCTGCAATAGGCCGGTTGGCCTGTGCATGGCAGCTCCTGTCGAGAGTAACTACCACTCTCTATCATCCATGAATCTATCCAGTCTCCTTTTGAAACTTTCCAGCTTTCCAGCACTTACTACATAGTTACTAAGCCTGTTCCACTCGTCCACCACCCTATTTGTGAATCAGTTCCTTCCTATCTCCCTCCTAAACCTAAACTTATCCAACTTAAATCCGTTGCTTCAAGTCCTATCGTGCTCGGATATTATAAGAACTTTATCTATATCCCCTTTATTGATTCCTTTCACCCACTTAAATACTTCTATCATATCTCCCTGCACTCTTTGTCTTTCTAGGGAATGCAAGTTTAGTTTCTTTAACCTATCCTGATATGGAAGGTTTCTAAGTCCCGGAATCATTATTGTCATTCTTCACTGCACCGACTCTAGTGAATTGATATCCATTCTATAATAAGGGCACCAGAACTGAACCGCATAATCAAGGTGCGGCCTGTCTAGCGCAAGATATAGTTGCAATAAGACCAACTGCCAACAATATTGGTTGCACAAATTGGGCAGGGTTTTGAAGTAGAGGAATACTGTGGGGTAAAAACATGCAAAAGAACTAACAAAACCTCCTAACCAGAGAAATCAGAAGGACCTGACCTAACCTAGCCAGGGGTCTCTGCCCCCCTGGCATGTAAAAAACTTATTTTAATTAACAGATGTAGTAAAGTAAAGTGATGCCACTTGAATGAGGAAGTGGTGCAGTATTGTGTTCTGATCTTTGTGATGTGCTTGGAACATGTACCAAGCAAAATATTGGCAGTAATGTTCTTCCTTGTTGCCTGCATGAAGCACCCAACCTTCACAGAAGGAATCCATTGTGCAACTACGAATTCAAATTCCAGAGCTTGAGCATGCTCGCAAGTCTTCTGCTGATTGGCTCACAAGTATCACGCGATATCCAAACTTCTGCTGATTGGCTCACAAGTATCACGCGATATCCAAACTTCTGTTGATTGGCTCACAAGTATCACGTGATATCCAAACTTCCGCTGATTGGCTGAGTTATAAGTAAACAATGGATTTCCCTGTGACCTTTTACTATACTGTACAGTACTGTATTTAAGTGAACTAGAAAAGTAAAAATACTGTAACTCGAAAACTATAAGATTATGATGGAAACCCTATAGAGTATTATAAAAATCAGTATAGAGTTCTGTGCATGGCAACTTTGAAATATTGGCTAATATTGACGACTACACCATCGATGCATTATTTGTTTTGATGTTTACATTCTTACTATATTTTCATCAGTGAGTTCTGATATGATAATCTTTTTAGGGTTTGGTTGGTTTGAACTTTAAAATAAACACTTTTTATCACATTTGCCATAACTATGACAGTGTCCACTATAAAACAGTGAAATTGTGGCATTTTTAAATTCGTCTTATATGAAAAATCAGCAGCAGTTTAATTGTCAATAATTACAATGTGACCCTATCTAACATCACAGGTTTTCTTTGGGTGTTCCTCCTGGACAATAATGGTCATAACAACGACCAGACCAACTACCTGAAGAGCTAGTAAGCTGGTAGGGTAAGTGATAGGATAATAAATGAAAAAAAAGGGTAATATTGATTTTAGCATCGATGAACCATTGAGCACTATGAAACTTGAGTAAGAATACATCAGTCAATGGTCTGTTTGTTAAACTCAAAACAGTTAAGCGATGGTTTGTTTAATTTGACTGAGCATTGAAAGCACACACGCAGTGGCTTGGGAAGTAATTGCAACAGGATTCAGGACATGACTACTTAAAAAAAGTAAAAAAAAAAAAAGTAAAAGTAAAAAAAATCACTTCGTGGAACTTTTGCAATATAGTCCTAAGCCAATGTTTAAGGTGTCATGCGTAAAATAACACCGTCCCTTTCCATTCAACCAATATAAAGATTTTCTATTGGCAATACAGTACCTACGATGTGTATCCCTAGGGGTATAAAGTAGCCACGTAGATGAATCAAATTCAACCTTGAAGAGTAAAACACTGAATGAATCATATCGAAACCATAAGATAAACTTAATTAATTAAGAGAACCCGTGGTTATTTATTATATCACATTGCTAATTAACACGAACATATGCATATTCCTATAGTGCGTAGTACAAACATGCAGTATTGCATCATTGTAAACAAACCTATAGAAAGACGATCACTCGCTTTAACAGCTGGAGTGAAATTGTGAATATTACAACTATGCTACTAAATATTGCCTTTAACATAACAAGATAACATTTAAATTCGCACTTACCTATTTCTACGTTGCATCTTGTACAGATATTCACTAAAAATAGAAATCCTTCGCACGTTATAGTTAAACTGTCTCAGCAAACTTGTCACAGAAAACACAGTGATATGATGGTATGTAGAGAGAGAAAACTAACAATGGGTAACGCTGCTATTGTGTCACGCTTACAGCTTTCGGATAGGTTGATGATTAGTCAGTAATATTCTCATACAAATATGCACATTGGGTTTATTCTGTATTTAAACAGTATAGGGACATAGACAAAGGCAAGCAATTTATCGATTCAATTAAGAAAACTACCCCCCAAAAACTAACGATTTCTTCTCGAACTTTCCTCAGATAGTTAAAAAAAAAGATAGTGAAATATTGTAGTGGATTTCTTCCCTACAAACGCTGTTTGTCGCTGAGTAGCCGATCCCGCGAATTCCCCAGTTCAGTTCTGGTCACCGTATTACAGAATGGATATAGAATCCTTGGAAAGAATTCAGAGGAGAATGACAAGACTAATCCCGGGCATTAGGAACCTTGAGTATAGAGACAGGTTAAAGCATCTTAATTTGCACTCCCTCGAGAGACGTAGAGCGAGGGGCGACCTGATAGAGGTGTACAAGTGGAAGGCAGGGCTAAACAAAGGGGACATTACAAAGGTACTCAAACTATCCAACCAGGAGCGAACTCGTAACAATGGTTTTAAATTAGACAAATTTAGATTTAGGCGGGAAATAGGTAAACACTGGTTTGGAAACAGAGTAGTGGATGAATGGAACAAGTTACCAAATATCATAATTAACTCGAATACGCTGAATAGCTTCAAACATAGGTTGGATGCTTATATGAGCAATAGGGGTTGGGTGTAAACGGGACTGCCCAGTATGGGCCAATAGGCCCGCTGCAGTTTCTTCCATTCTTATGTTCTTATGCCTCGTGGTCTAGGTCAATCAGCGCCGCCTTACATGACGGGGGTCAACTACTAAGCCACGCCTGCCTCCGCTATTTAAGACCTGACCTCGTGGTAACCACCTTCTTTTCTACCTACACCAACCAGCAAGCAACACCTCCTCCTCCTGCCTGGCGGCCCTCGCTCCCGCCGGCGAGCATGGCGACCCACAAGCTGGTCCTCCTCTGAGCATCCTCACCAACCAGCTCTCTCTACATCACGCTTGTAACCACGCTGCCACTTCCCAGTGTAACGACCACGGTCATACACGTCAGTTAACGCCAAAATCAAATGGTTCATATTACGCTCAATAGCCCACAAAACATGTACCTCTGCTTTATTTTGAGTCCTCCATCTGAGGAGTCCGTTTTCTCATCACTTCAAGACGCCTGTAGTGGACTTCTCCCCTACAACTGCCTACAACTGCGTAGCAGCTCACCACCTGCTATCGCATTCCAATGTGCCGCCTTCCCTAGCAACCAACCAGATGTTACCGTATCTTAGCAACGAAACTATTCACCGGCTACTTCTCGGGCTTTCCCACCATGACTCATGGCGGCTGCTGCGGGGTATATAAGCTCTGTCTCTCCCTTGAGATTCAGTCTGACCAATCTTCTTGAACAAGCAACACCTCCTCCTCTGCCGCTGCCTGGCGACCCTCGCCTCTCCTCCGCCTGCCTGGCGGTCCTGCTCCCGCCAGCGAGCATGTCCTTCTCTGAGCTTCCTCACCAACCAACTCTCATTCTGCCCATTTTCCTGAACAAGCAACATCTCCTCCAGCAAGCTCCACGCTGTTAACATTTCATTCAACCAGGAGGCCAGCAACAGGCAACATCTTCTCTGACGAAGCTCCTGCACATCTACCTCCTTCAACAAGCTACTCACCGCACGTCTCTACCAAGCAGCCCCTGACCACACAGCACCTCCAGCACCAGACTGTCTATCATATAACTTATATATTATACAAGAAAACCACATTAGAGTTTCCTTCCATCCTGAGTGCTAGACGACATTGATATCTCGATACCCCTACAAGTTACTTACGTGGGAAGTGTATTCATTTCATGTTCGTGTCCGAAAATCTGTGTCTAGTAACGAAATATGATGTCCTAGTAACTTTGATAGAAGGTGTTATTAATGTGTCCATGTCACTGTCGTAATTAATAACAGTTGTAACGAAGCGATGTTGAGAAGTCGTCCTTAAGAACGTAATAGATGTGTGTTGACGGAGTAAATAACTAACACGGCCACGCTACCAAAACCTTCCTCTCTGTTACTCTCTTACTAATTATTCTCTATACTTGCTACCTTTTAAAACGCTTCATTACATACTCAAGAATAATTATTTTCATGATTATAGCCAGCAAAGCAATTTATTTTTATTTTCTACCTAATTATAAACAAGAAAACCTTTGCTCTAACCTTAGTATTTCTTATCTCTTTGGATAAGCTTAATCAGTCCAGTCAAAGGTTATTTACTACCGTACAGTGTGAGTTATAGATTCCACCGGAGTCGGTGAAAAAATTGCCTATTATGAATTTAATAATATATTTCAAATCTTTGTGAATCTCTCTGAATAGCTCTCCTTATTTTATAAAACTAATGTAATCTTTCAGACTAGCCATGTCTCATTAAATACTTGCTTAATTAAAAAAAGTCCAGTTCCTACGATTCTTTTATTTTTTTCCAATAAAGGTAAATTAAGCCAATTTCATCTCTAAGACTCCACTTATATATTAAGAAATAAACTAGCCTAGAGATATATAAATAATATTATAAATACTGAAATAATATTGGTAGGCAACTGTGTAACGTCAACAACAACACAAGACTTTGCCTGTCAGTCTGCCAGTGAGTGTCACCGGCAGTCAGTCATGTCATAGTGTTCAGACCACCTCTACTACACCAGCCTCTCCTCTCAGGTATACCACAATATTTCTTTGATACGACTAGTAAAGGTAATGTGGATTATAAATGTACTTCCTGGATATACTGTATAGCCGTTAGATAGATGGAGAGGCATTTATTAGTAGTAAAATCGTTTTGCAGGTTCGGAAACTTTCACCACGTACACCGAGCAAGTATTGTTAATAATTTATGTACTGTATCGGGGCCTGGGGGTCGAAAATGTAATAATAATGATAATGAAGATGATGATAAAGAACCACAAAGAAACGTAAAAATGAAAAAAAAATCATAAGTGAGAAACAATATATGTATGTTGTGTTGTCAATAGTAAGATATGAGATGTAGTACATGTACCGGTACTATATAGTTTGACATTTCTAATGAATAAGTGCTAGTTTATCTTGCTTTGTGTATCTATCTAGTTTTGCTAGTATTGGTAGATTCAGTGATAATATTTACTGTGAATGACCTCTGATATATTGGAATGGCATTCTCTGAGGGGATGGTGCTGTAACAAAGTCGGGTGTTTTTGCGTTTACACACCGTTCATTCCTACCACTAATCTATTATCATATTCGAATAAGACGCCTAATTATAAGATAATTTTCATCTATTACATTACCGGCGGAAATGTATAATAACGGAGATAGCTTTTCCCCCCCAAATTCTATTATCTTCCATTAATCTCCCGCCATTATCGTCTGTCTGCCTCTCACGCAACACCGTGCCTCCTTCATAAATCATGACACGCATGCGTACCCGTACACGTCACGCGGCCAATCAAAAGCGTTTTTGCTTTTGGAACCAATTAAAATGGTTTTGGGTTTAATTCAGATTATATTTGGCCCAATCAAAATCGAGTTTTATTTTGGGTCTCTCATATTTGGAAATTCAAGTTCAGTTCCAACCATGAAAGTCTGCGATGGATGTCACTTAAAGTATGTGGAGCTGATTGCGAGTTTTTGGACAAAAACGTAGAAACTATAGCATTTTTTTGATCGCATGGTGTCCTTCCAACCTCAGTAAAGTGTACTAAGAGCAAGACGGAATGTAAATATCGCAAAGACCAACATATGTGGCGTTGTGTAAGAATCCCAGAATGCAACGACGAACAAGAACCAGGCCAATAAGGTAATAAATAGGTGATTCCGTCATATGGTGAGAGTCAATTAAGTTAGGTTAGGTTTTTGTTTTTCTTGTGTTTTTGTGTGTATTTTTTAGTCGCTTAGCCACTTTGTTTTCGGAAAACGTCAACCGAAAAAAAATCGCCAAAAAAACCCGGTTTATTTCCGCCGAAAATGAAGGTCATATTCGGTCTAAACACAGACAAATACACTAGAAAAATATATTTTTTACTTGCTAAAAGTGAACGGTGTGACAATGCAAATTTACCCCAAATCGGTAATATTGCAGTAAACAGCAACCACAGAATTCCGGAAATTCAAAACACTCAATCGATAGAACTATTTTTTCTATGATCATTTTCTTGTATTACATTAGGTTAGGTTAGGTAACACAATTTTGTATCATATTCTTTAGTAGCTGTAATCTGCAATTTTACCACAAAATCAATTAGGTGCTAGGTTTCTGTGAAGTTTTTTCATGTTTTTTTTTTAATGCTGAGAAAACAAGTCTGGTGAATGTGATTAATGAACATATTTATAAATTATTAATGATGATAAAGCGAAGAAACCAACTCAACCTAACCATGAATTATTAAGTTAGGTTTGGTTAGTTTGTTGCATTCTGTCAGGATGGAGGTTACATGTTTGTCATTGAGAGTACAATCAGAAATTCAGTAAATTTATGTTTTGTAAAATACACATTGATAGAACTATATACAATTCTGGAATTGGTTGCACAATTTAGAAAATCTTGGGTAAATTTTTACTTTTGGACATGAGTCCCTAGGGGTTGACCAATATGTTTTTCCAGTGTATTTTGGTGTGTTTTAAGCGAAACTGACCTTCATTTTTGGCGGAAATTGCTAGTTTTTGCCCCCCCTTCCCACAATAATTAGGGAGAGCCTGGGAAATTGGGGTTTTTGGGTGGGGGAGAACACGAAAACGAGTCATCTAACCTAACCTAACAACTTAATCTAATATAACCTAATGTAATCCCTAGCCGAGGGCTCTGCCCCCGGACCCCCGGTAGGCCTAACTTAAACTAACCTAACACTCAACAGACGTAGGGAGAACACCATGATTACATAAGAATTGGATAGCATGATCGTCTTTCTCGTAAAACTTGGCAATAAACTTAAAATAATGGTAGGAGCATGAATCACACCCAACCTCCACCATAGCCATTGGCAGATGGGTGATTGAAATTCATATCTGAACCCAGGCTGCTTTCTTTGAAAAAATTAAAATGTGATTGGTCGAAAAAAATTCGCGTCATGAGATCGATGCACAATTGGTCACGACTGGATGACGTCAGTCAACATTGCGCATGCGTGAGGTAAACACATTCTTACTCGGTTTTACACAGATAACATCTCTTCACAGAGACGAAGACTGAAAAGTACGTCAAATCAATTAAATTAAATTGTGTTGCTGTTTTCCATTTTCGAATGGTAAATTGAGGTTTAAAATGCCAGAATAGGGAGATCTAAATGTTTCAGTACAGTAGTTTATAACTTTGGGGTGCACTACATTGGTCCCTCGGTTAACCAGCACAATCCGTTCCAGCAGGTTGCTCGTTAACCGAAACCATTGTTTCAATGAGTTTTGGGTAATTGGTTCCAGCTCACCGAAAATTGCCTAAATTAAAAATATAGGTAGAAAAGTACATATACTTTGAGGTGTGTATGTAGAAGGCTCCTGGATGATGATGATGATGGGAATTAGAATGGGGGTGGAGGAGAAGGGAGAAGAGAAGGCATTGGGGTGGAAGAGAAGTTACCCCATGGTGCCATTTCACCCATAAAATTTTAGTATTCTTGGTGTAATTCGAGATTATTTTCTTTAAATCAACACTGCACTGAATTATATATTGTCAATATGTAAAATAAATTTAAAAATGTCCAATAATTTGCTTGCAGACACAGAAAAAAGCATTTAGTTGAAGAGAGTCTCAAGCAAGATGTTACCTCCCTGAAAAGACAGAGAGACTGGCGCCTGTTTGGTGTGTTGCCAGGCTGGATGGCGCGCATGAAACTAGTTTCCTTACCTTCAATTATGTTCAATAATTGTTAAAATGACTAAAAAATTTAATATTTAACTTTTAAAATTATTGAATAGTATAAACATCTTGATATTTACTAAAATAGTAAGGAATTTAAGCCCTAAGACCAATTACTGTATTGGCGGACTAATGCTACAGCTGGTGCACCGCCAAATGCAAGCGAAAACATGTTGAGATGGCTCGTAAAAAACTCGTTAATCGAGGGATTGCTCGTTAACCGAAATTAAGAATCTTATGGAAGGTAAATCGTTAACCGAAATCTCGTTAACCGAGGCGCTCGTTAACTGAGGGATCACTGTATGTCCAAAAGTAAAATAAAACCAAATCTTGATACATGTGATTTCATAATCTTGGTTTCTTTTTACACATTATCAGTAGTTCAGTGTAGCCCCATATGTCTGTCATCCTTCAGCCTGATCTTTAGTATTCATGTTAGGCATTAATTTACATATCTTACAACAAAAGTGGAAAGAATAATTTTTGGGTAAAGATATGTTTTAGGTCAAGCAAGGAAGTTTATATTTCTACTTATATAGGGAGAAAGAAAAAAATATTGCGTTTCTGTCGTTAATTTATATTTTTCGAGTACAGTATATTAACTGATATGATCCCCTCAATTACCAACAATGTTGATTGTTCAAAGTGGGCAGGACTTTAAGTAGAGGAATAATGTGGGGTAAAATACTAAAAAGAACACCAAACAAACCTTTGAAAACCTTAGCTAACCTTCCCTAACTTATAAAAATCAGAAAAATCTAAAAAACTTACCTGATTCTTGTTTTTGATGTTTAGTATGTGATGTTTTCAGTGTTCAGAGGAGAAGGGACCTATAAATTGGAAAGCATTTCTTAACCTTTACCGAATTCAAAAATCTTATTTAATTGTATACAGTATTGTTCTCATGTAATATATTGAAGAGTACCCTGGTAAGTTGGTGAGAGGGGTGTTACCATGGACAGTGTGATAATTTAGAAATGTGTGATGATAATGTTAAAAAACACAGCATGAGCCCACTTGCTGGAAAGTGCTTATTGATAATACTGTACAGGTTTACCCTGATAACTGATGCATATAGGGACTGGGAGAAGTCGTTGGTTAGTGAATCAATGGTTTTCAAAGCTATTAGTCCCATAAGAAAAAAATAAATAAAAATGCAGAGGGTTAGGGATCAGCCACCCTCCAAAAACTCCTGTCTACCCTTGATATATCTGTCATGCACACTGTCACGCAAGAAAATAAAGCAGACATAAAAAACAAGCATAATAAGCAATGTACAGTAAAGCATAAATTGGGACTGTTATTTACCTATGTTGCTGGTCCATCACCACTCTTATTATGCCTTTTCACATCAAGCTGGAGGAATTATCACTGAGGTATTTAGGCATGATTGCATAACATACAAAGTTGGAAATAATGAAAAAACACGAAGTCAGATACACATGGCAAGTATAAACAGGAGCAAAGATAGCGGGAATGAATCAGAGGCAGCGCGCAGAGCTTTCTCCCTATAGTTGGATCTCTGGGGTATCAACGAAACTTGTGGGGTATTTCCCCTATATGTAATCGTCAGTTATGCGAAGCGGCGGTTATTGGGTAATAATAATAAAGAACCATAAAGAAATACAAAATTGAAAAAAAGACCAAGAGTGAGAAACATTATTTGTTGTATGATATATATGGACACAAAGTAGTACCTTCAGCTGTGTATTATTATATTACTCTTATATTACTCCATTAATTATGTATAGTAAAGTATTACAGAACATGTATTAATTCTATGTAATATTCCATTTATTGTGCACCATATTATGTATATAAATTATCATATTTATACTTTATGTATTCAGCTTGTGAATGCTGGCATCTGTACATCCCAGCGCACAGTAATACATAGATAGATGTAAAGAGAGAAGACAGAGTCGTCGTGGTGTAAACGCGAGCTTCTGCGTCCTACTGTATATACAGTAGTACCCCGCTTAACGCGGTCAATTGAACCCACAGGGTACCGCGTTAAGTGAAAACCGCGTTAAGTGAACAACAGAACATATGGGATTAATTCCAATAGAGACTGGCCCGACCCCCAAACTCCACTTTTTGACGACACACAACTATGTTGTAGTAAAAATTTTATCTTAACTTTATGATGGTATGCACACACAATTAATAATTAAGAGAAATATCAATAATATTAGGTTTTTTAACACTTGCATTAGTAGAAAAGATGGCTGGGCACACGGGGATGGGGGGTTGGTTCCGAGGCAGAGGGCAGATTATTGGCCCTCACCTGTATCACTTGTATCAATTGTATCACTATCCACCACAGAGGCTTGCAGGGCCTCTTTGTCAAACCCCTCAAAGGCCATATAAGTCCATATCCTCACTATGATTATCACTATCACTGACTTGGGCCGGCTGTGGTGGGTGGCGGGTGAAGAACTCGGTAATGTTTTGATGACTGGGCGACCTTGTGCGCATCGTGCCTGCGCCGCTTCCCGCGTATATGATGAAAAATTCCTCGTTAAGTGAAAGTTCAGCTCTGGCGAGGCACCGCGTATATGATAAAACGCGTTAAGTGAAACCGCGTTAGGCGGGGTAATACTGTATATATATATCTCCCGTACAAGAATAGAACCTACTTTTAAGACAACAAGTGTTTGTGTATACCCTCAGTAGTATAGAACATTTTCTGGGTATCCGTGACAATACTTCAGATTTGTATGTTGTGTTGCAATGGTAAGAGAAAGAATTGAGATCCTGCAATTATGTGTAAATGAGGCAGAAAGTCAGATCAGCAACCTGGGACTTGGTCACAATTTTCGTGATGCCATATGGCAGCAGGGCCTACCATTAGACAATACATTATGCTTCCAATATCTTCCCAGGTGGTAGTACCTCCCTGTTTGATAGCTCCCTACTACCTACCTGTACAGTATCTCAAAAAAGTATCTGCCAGAATGGGTCTGATGACTTATGAAATGCTGCATGCAACTCACAATGTACCGGGAGGGTTGGGTATGTGTGACTCTGTGGCATACTGATCCTACTACATTTGGTAACCGAACATCATATTAATCACGCTGAAGTATATGCACATTGCATTACTTCTGTTAAACTATATTGCAAAGTAAATGCATGTCCCAATATCTATCATCCATGGTTTCATAATGTTTCACACAGTGTGTGGACATACTTTTTTATGAGATACTGTATATGGCTTTGCAAAAGTTTATTGATAGATTGGTAAATGTTTGTGTTGGTTTCAGAACTTTCTGTTCTCTGATTATTGATGAAATTTTAAAATTGTTTGTATGATATATTTTCTTTTCAGGTGATGAGTAGCACCTGTGCTCGTGTTGTAGTCAGCCTGGATGAGATTTACTTGCCATTAATTTTGTGTTAATGTTATTTTCCTTAACTACTGCCTCCTATCAAGACAACTTTAACAATGAGTGTTGTAAGTTATTATTTAAGATGGTTCAGACCCTTTTGTGTTTATGGCAATGTTTATGGTACAGTACTGCACCCGGTAGTTTCTTTGGCCTTATCTGACTACGTACATCATTATTGATGATGTCAAAACGAACTCACCATATGATCTTACAGATATTTTATAATTTACTTTAGTTTGGTGTGGTTAGTTTATTAGTGTTGAGATTATTAATGGTTTAGTCAGATCTGAAACCATATCCTTATTTTCACTAATAAAGTTATAATATGAAATACAGTATGTTATCTCAATATACTGGAATATATTCGAAACTTTTACTTTCATTTTAACATAGAAAATTTGTCCTTTGCATAGTGTAGTATTGTACCAAAATTGTTTGTATAGTATACTGTCCAATATTACCAAGTTGGTTAGAGATATGTGTCTGGCTACTTTTGATGGTAATCTGAAACATATTTATAAAAGTGTGAAAGTTCGTGAAGGAAATAAATAATATCATATAAATTAAATTTGTACACACTTTTTGTCATTATCCAACTCAAGGTTTAAAACTGTAATAGTGTAATTGATGAATGCCTTCTTTCAGAGCACAGAAGTAACTCCGTCCAAAGAGCCACAGCATATGTCTGTGTATCTCACCAGTGGAAAAGAAAAGACATTTCAGTATGATGAAGATCTCCCATGTTTACCTGTTCCCCCACTGCAGCAAACTCTAGATAGGTAACCCCTCAGTTTAATGTTCCAGTCACTTAAGTTACTGAACATTTTTATATCAGTATTAATTCTTAAGGACTGTACAGAAGTACAGTAACTGTTTTTCATAATGGTACTTGACTGCCTTTCATTATCTATGTGTCAAGGTTTACATAATTTTTTTCTGATAAGATACAGCTATCATGCTGGTTACATTACTTTTTTTAAAACTTTGATCAGGAATCATCTGTCCTTTGGCACTCAAGGTGCCAAGTTAAAGTTTGTTTGTCATTAATCTGTTAGAGTGAGTGGTGATATACAGTAATTGATAAAAGTTAAGGATTTTAAATGCTTGGGATGAGAGAGTGGTAAACAAGAGAGAGGGAACTGAACTCTTTGGGATTGTTGTGGTGGCAGATTATAAACATGGATGTACTACTGTAGTATAAAAGGGATTAAACAATAGCCCAGTCCTTATTTCCTGAATTCTGGGATGGAAATTTGAACAAAGTAAGATAGACGGTTATAGAATTCTTTATATTGAAATGAGCCATGTGAGGGTTATAGGGTTAAAGATAAGAGGATGTAAGCAGTAGTGATGTTTGATAGCTGAGAGAGAAATATGAGGACTAGTGGTTATAGTGGATTAGGAGGACTTCATTGCCTTAAAGTGGGTTGGATATGTAGCAACATGTATGAATAAAGGATTGCACAGAAAGTTTAAAGGCCTAAGGCAAAAGAGGGTAGAAATATGGGGAGGCAACAAACATTCAGGAAAAAGAAAGGAAAGAAACCTATAAGAGACTTGTCTCTTAAGGGCTTAAAGCTATGGAACCGAGTAGGTAGATAACCTGGAAGAGTTTCTGTCAAGGAGAGTTTCCAGAGGGAACACAATGATAGATAAAGGCAGGCAAGGCCGTGGGCTCATAGCACTAGTCTTGCCCATGGTGCTCGCCGTTTCTGTGTGGATGTTGGTCACACTAGAATAACCCATTAATAATTATAGTACATACTTCTTTCCTCACAGCCAAACTGTGGAATGCTCTGCCTTCTGTGTTTCCATACTCATACAGTGTCTCGCTTCAAAAAGATGGTTTTCTGGCATCTTCGTGGTGTAGATTAATATAGTCTTTTACTCTTCTATTTTTAATTTCTGTTTACTCTTATTTTTTCACTCCCCCAGGCCCCATTGTTGGTCGATGACCTGTGCCCGGCCGTGCTATTCCCCATAATAAAAAGAAAAAAAAATGATATATACAGTGGTCCCTCGGTTAACGAGCACAATTCGTTCTAGAAGGTTGCTCGTTAACCGAAACCATTCTTTCAATGGGTTTTGGGGAATTTGTTCCAGCTCACCAAAAATTGCCTAAAATCAACAAAAAAGGTTGTAAAGTACACTTACTTTGAGGTGTGTATGTAGAAGGCTCCTGGATGATGATGATGGGAATTAGAATGGGGGTGGAGGAGAAGGGAGAAGAGAAGGCATTGGGGTGGAAGAGAAGTCACCCCATGGTGCCATTTCACCCATAAAATTTTATTTCGCTTGGTGTAATTCAAGATTATTTTCTTTAAATCAACACTGCACTGCATTATATATTGTCAATATGTAAAATAAATTTCAAATTGACCAATAATTTGCTTGGAAACGCAGAAAAAAAAGCATTTAGTTGAAGAGAGTCTCAAGCAAGATGTTACCTCCACTGAAAAGACACAGAGACTGATGCCTGTATGGTGTGTTGACAGGCTGATTGGCGCACAAAAAACTAGCTTCCTATACTTCAATTATGTTCAATAATTGTTAAAATGACTAAAAAAATTAATATAAAACTTAAAATTATTGAATAGTATAAACTTCTTGATATTTACTAAAATAGTAAGGAATTTAAGCCCTAGAACCGATTACTGTATTGGCGGACTAATATTACAGCTGGTGGACCACTAAATGCAAGCGAAAACATATTAAGGTCGGCTCGTAAAAGAACTCGTAAAAAAAGCTCGTTAACTGAAGTTAAGAATCTTTTGGAAGGTAACTCATTAACCGAGGGATCACTGTGTGTGTGTGTGTGTGTGTGTGTGTGTATATATATATATATATATATATATATATATATATATATATATATATATATATATATATATATATATATATATATATATATATATATATATATATATATATATATATATATATATATATATATATATATATATATATATGACACACAGTGGGGTATGCTATAACGAACGGATCCTACTACGAATATTCCTATAACGAACGGTTTTACCTATAAAATTGAGAGTGCTATAACGAACGCGGATGAATACGGGACTATTTCGTCTGGCGCATGAATATTGTTGTGCCGCGACCCACAACAAGAGCGTCAGGCGCCATCTTTGTCTCATTGTGTAGCCAGTGCACCACTGTTATTGTTGAAATTTCGTCTTTTGATGTGGAAATTCGCGTTATTTGTATAACTATTTTGTTATACAAGTATACAATTGTAACAATGAGTCGTCCAAAGCGAGTGAGAAAGCTAATAACCCTTGAAACTAAGAAAGAAATTGTAAAGAAACGTGAGAATGGAAGAAGCATTGCGAAACTTAGTGATGAATATGGGATGGCTAAATCGACTATATGTACGATTTTGAAGAATAAAGAGGAGTTAAAAACTGTGCAAGTGGCTAAGGGAATCTTTAGACTTAGCAAAGCAAAGTGTAATGTGATTGAAGAGATGGAAAATTTACTCTTAGTGTGGATAAAGGAGAAAGAAATGGCAGGTGGTAACATTAGTGAAGCTATAATTTGTGAGAAGGCTAAACAATTGTTTGAGGACCTTAAAGCCAAGACTCCCAGTGGAAGTGATAGTGATGTGCCAGTGTTTAGGGGTACCTGCATGCTGAATAACACTAAGGTAAGATAAAGTACCGTATTTTTTACATTTTCCACAGAATTTTTTCAGTGTTAAGTGGTTGTATTTGGGGGCCTGGAACGGATTAATCCTATAACGAACTTAATGCTATAACGAACGAGGTTCTGAATAATTACGTTCGTTATAGCATGGCACTGTATATATATATATATATATATATATATATATATATATATATATATATATATATATATATATATATATATATATATATATATATATATATATATATATATATATATATATATATATATATATAGACACACACACAGTGGGGTATGCTATAACGAATGGATTCTACTACGAATATTCCTATAACAAACGGTTTTACCTATAAAATTGAGAATGCTATAAGGAACGAAACTCCTACAACGATTTTTTTTTTATTACAAGTATTAATGATATTCTTTATTTCAGGAGTTTAGATGCATATTTATGCACTTTTTTTTACAATTTTTACAATTTTATATTATATTTTTCAGTGTTACGTGGTTGTATTTGGGGGCCTGGAATGGATTAATCCTATAACGAACGAATGCTATAACTAACAAGGTTCTAGAACCAATTAGATTTGTTATAGCATATATATATATATATATATATATATATATATATATATATATATATATATATATATATATATATATATATATATATATATATATGTATATATATCTTGATAAAATCACACGGGAAAAGGAAACACTAATTTGTTTTGTTCACAATTCAGAGCAACTGGATTGTATATTTAAGCCCTCTCTGTCCATGTAAGTTGCCTCTGAAGATGTCTTGAATAAAGACGAAAGCTAAGGTGCTCCGTTGTTTCCCCTTTCCCGTGTGATTTTATCAAGATTTATCTTATCCACGTTTTCATTGTGGATCTACATGAAATATATATATATATATATATATATATATATATATATATATATATATATATATATATATATATATATATATATATATATATATATATATATATATATATATATATATATATATATATATATATATATATATATATATATATATATATATATACACACACACACACAGTAGTACCCCGATTTACGCGGTCAATTGAACCCACAGGGTACCACGGAAAGTGAAAACCGCGTAAAGTGAACAACAGAACATATGGGATTAATTCCAATAGAGACTGGCCCGACCCCCAAACTCCACTTTTTCCGACACAATACCTATGTTGTAGTAAAAATAACATCTAAATTTTATGATGGTATGCTCACACAATTAATATTTAAGAGAAATACAGTCGCCAGGTTAATGTCCATTCAAATAATGGACTCAAATCCCCCCCCCCCCTCTTCCCAGCTCACTAGCCGACTACCTCTCTGAGAAATGATTGGGTGAAACACTAGATTTTAACGTTTAGTAATAAATAATACCTCAGACTACAGTTAGGATAATATTATTGACATTTCTGGATTCCTTGCAGGTCAGGGAATATTTTGAATGTAAACTTCATATATTTTGCACAAAAGATAAAATACTTGCTTTGTGTAAACCAAATTATTACATTAGATCTAAAATTTGTATGTCAAATGCAAAATCCATGATATTTATATTCAAAATGATCATCATATTGTAAGAATTCCAGCAATGTAAATTATATTCTGGTCCAGTAATTTGTATGAATTTTATAAGCTAAAACAAATATCTTCAGTTAATAAAAAAAAAAATATTCTTCACGACACTATCTGTCAATCAAAGTACCCCAACTTGCCTCCCCCCTCTTCCAACCGCGCCAGATGGTCGGTTGGTCCCAACCCTCCCCCCCCCACCCCCCACCTTCCCTCCCTACCAGAGAAATGTTGGGTGAAAAAACTAGATTTTAACTTTTAGTAATAAATAATACCTCAGACTAAAGTTAGGATAATATAATTGACATTTCTGGATTCCTTGCAGGTCAGGGAATATTTTGAATGTAAACGTCATATATTTTGCACAAAGGATCAAATATTTGCTTTGTGTAAACCAAATTATTACATTAGATCTAAAATTTGTATGTCTAATGCAAAATCCATGATGTTTATATTCAAAATGATCATCATATTGTAAGAATTCCAGCAATGTAAA